CCTGGGGGTGCTGAGCCTGAGGGTGCTGCTACTGGGGGTGCTGAGCCTGGGGGTGCTACTACTGGGGGTGCTGAGCCTGGGGGTGCTGAGCCTGGGGGTGCTGAGCCTGGGGGTGCTACGCCTGGAGGTGCTCAGCCTGGGGGTGCGGAGCCTGAGGGAACTGGGCCTGCTCGTGTGGCGTCTGGCGGTGCTGAGCCTGGAGGTTCTCCGGGTGCTTCGTCTCGGCGGGAGCCACTCTCTCCACAGGAGCTGCGCGAGAGGTTTGCCCGGCGCTGGAGGCGTGCTGCTGGAGCTGGAGGTTCTTCGACTGCTGAGGGTGCTGTTGCCGCGGGTCCCGGAGGTGCTCGTACTGGGAGTACTGGAGCTGCTGGGCCTGCGGGTACGACGGGAGCTGGAGCTGCTGAGGGTGTTGGCGCTGAGGCTACTGCTGTCTCTCCTGGAGGTGGTCCTGCTGGGGGTGCTACTGGTGCTGCTGGAGGTACTGGAGCTGGAGGTGCTGCTGGCGCTGGTGCTCCCGCTGGGGGTACTGGTGCTGTCCCTGCTGTGTCTGGAGTCGCTGCGCGGCCTCGACCGTACTTCGTTCCGCTCCTTCAGCAGGTTCTTGGTCTCCCGCCTTCTACTGGTCCTCCTCCTCCCTTAGAGTGTCCACAGCCTGTCCTGTCACAGTTCCAGTTACAGCCTGCCTCCCCACTGCCCGCTCCTTCTCCCAACACTGGTCCTACTGGAGGTCTTGCTGAGCGTCGTGAGCCTGCGTCTCGCCCTGCGTCGCCTGTCCGTGCTGCTCGCACTAGTGGTCGTGGTTCGCGTCAGCGTCCTCCTCCTGTCCCTGGCACGCACCGGATGTCTCTGCGTCCGTCCACTGCTCCTCTGCGTGCCCCTTTGCCTTCTCCTCCTGAGTCCTCTCTTCCTGTCTTCCTGACCCGGGGTCGGACTCTCTTCGTGCTGCCAGTCCTACTGTCACACGTCTCCTTGCTACTGTTGTCACTGACCCTTCCTTTGAGTCCACTGCTGCGTCTGCCCTAGTTACTGAGCTCGTCGACTTTGCTGCTCGCTGTCGTCTAGACTACGCTGCTAGTCTTGTTGCTGAGTCTGAGTCTGTCTGTCCTCCGTCCGTCGGGGTTGAGTGTGCCCTTGGCATGGACGTCCTTGAGGACAGGCAGGAGGAGTTCCAGTGTTTGGCTGCTGCTTCACCTCATCTCGTGTCCGTACTGCTTACCCCTGAGGGAGACCCGGATGCACTTGACATCCCGACTCCGCGCTCTTACGCGGAGGCGATAGAGGGTCCCTACTCTTCTCAGTGGCAGGCAGCTATGGACGCAGAGATGGCTTCCTGGAAGTCCACAGGCACCTACGTTGACGAGGTTCCCCCGCCTGGGGCGAACATCGTCAGTGGCATGTGGATTTTCAGGGTGAAGCGGCCGCCGGGTTCTCCGCCTGTCTTCAAGGCGCGTTACGTGGCTCGTGGCTTCAGTCAGCGGCAGGGAGTTGACTACTTTCAGACCTTCTCTCCCACCCCGAAGATGACCACTCTTCGGGTGCTGCTGCACATAGCTGCTCACCGTGACTACGAGCTGCACTCTCTTGACTTCAGCACTGCTTTCTTGCAGGGCAGCCTGCACGAGGAGATCTGGCTGCGTCGCCCACCTGGCTTCACTGGGTCCTTTCCTCCTGGCACCCAGTGGAGCCTCCGGCGGCCAGTCTACGGTCTCCGCCAGGCACCGCGTGAGTGGCACGACACACTGAGGACTACACTTGCGGCTCTTGGGTTTGCTCCCTCTACTGCCGACCCGTCGCTGTTTCTGCGCACCGACACTTCTTTGCCACCGTTCTACATCCTCGTGCACGTCGACGACTTGGTCTTTGCCACAGCTGACACTGCTGGACTCGCCCACGTGAAGTCCGAGCTGCAGAAGAGACACACGTGCACAGACCTGGGTGAACTGCGCAGCTATCTTGGCTTGCAGATCACTCGGGACAGAGCACGCCGCACCATTACCCTGACTCAGTCACACATGGTGCAGCAGGTCCTTCAGCGCTTCGGCTTCACGTACTCCTCGCCTCAGGCCACTCCTCTGCCTACTCGCCACTCGCTCTCAGCTCTGCCTTCGGATGAGTCCGTAGAGTCGAGTGGCCCGTACCCAGAGCTTGTTGGCTGCCTCATGTACCTGATGACCTGCACACGACCTGACCTTGCATACCCTCTTAGCATTCTTGCACGCTATGTTGCTCCTGGGAGACACAGACCGGAGCACATGGCTGCAGCGAAGAGGGTGTTGCGCTACTTGTGCAGTACGTCGGGCATGGGGCTTGTGCTTGGAGGGCAGAGTCCAGTGGTCCTCACTGGGCACGCAGACGCTTCTTGGGCTGACGACCAGGCTACGCAGCGGTCGTCACAGGGTTACACCTTCAGTCTTGGTTCCGGCTCTGTTTCGTGGCGGGCTACCCGCTCGTCTTCTGTTCTCGGCTCCAGTTGTGAGGCTGAGATCTACGCCGGGGCCATGGCTGCACAGGAGCTTCGCTGGCTCACCTACCTGCTGACTGACCTCGGAGAGCCGCCTCGTTCTCCTCCAGTGCTGTACGTAGACAACAAGGCCATGCTGGCCTTGTGTCGAGAGCAGAGACTGGAGCACAGAACGAAGCACATTGCTCTCCGCTACTTCCTTGCTCGTGAGCTACAGCAGCGTGGTCAGCTGCGGCTTGCGTACGTGGCCTCTCAGGCCAACACTGCTGATATCTTCACCAAGGCACTTGCGCCTTGTGATCATCAGCGCTTCTGTACTCAGCTGGGTCTTGTGCCTACCTTGCCTCACTTGCTCACCCCTTGACCTTGTTTGTACTGTTGCATATATATATACACCTGCTCTTGCTTGTCTAGCCTTATATGTATATGTAATCCTGCATGTGAACTGGCCTTGTGGCCTTGAACTTGTGCTCGGAATGTGTGGTGACTTTGTGATCCACCCTGAGCTTGCTTTGCTTGACTGGTCTTGTGACCCCTTGTTCTCCCCCACTTTGCCTATGGGGGTGTGTCAGATTTATATGACATAGCTACTGTAGGCTATAGTGGGGTAGCACATATGGGGTACAGTTTTCTAGGGTTTGCTTTTTGTACCCAACTTTCACTTAGTCATTTTCATTCCTCGTTTCTTCTCATTCCCCTGGACAAAATCGACAACCACCCCATCCTCACCGAGTATCTGCGCAGCCGAAATTTTCGGGATGTACACGCACTTTCATAAAAGAGGGCCTCCTTAAGGGGGGGGGGGTAGTGTAAGGAAAATTCCTTTTCCTTACTTCGCGTCCCTGCTCAGCGCATACACCACTGTAGCACCACAGTCAGCACCGTTACCACCTGCAACCCTCGCATCGACAATCCTCCTGCCACCTTCGCACGCCGCACCCCGACCTCACGGCTCGGCCGGTAACCCGCGCTCCGGGCCTCCGCCTCGACATTTTCCCAACCTCAGTTCCAGGCCCGTCGCGCGTCAACCACAGTTCATTACCGTTACCACTGTAGTTTCGCTATATATTCTTCGCTCATGCCTTTACCGTTACCATTCTACTCTTGCTTCGATAGTGCAATTCTCGTTCGATCACTCAATTGCACTCGTAACAGTGGTCCACTTCGGAACTCGTCTGATGGCTGAAAAACGAAAAACATAGAACTTATAACTTTCCAAAACAATGCAAAAAAACTAATCAAGCTGGACCCAACTAGAACGGGGGGGTCACTATTTTGGCTACGGGCTTTAATAATGGTGGGAGATACACCGACAATGGAAGTTGACGATACGCTGAAATTAACATGGTAATGAACTTGAAGGTAACACGGCCTTGGGAATGCATGGCTGAGCCTAATGCTTGTCGCCTGATAACTGGAGAGACCGAGGTCAGCATAAATTACCAGACTTCCATTTCGAATGTTAAAGACGATACTGTTAAGAAGATCAGAACTCGGCGTGCATTGTAGCGAGGACGTTGACTTGTTCAAGCTCGTCAGAATCCATGGCCGCCAGATGGCGGAGAAGGCGGAGAGCATTGCAGGCAAGGCTTTCGTGGTGTGTGATGGACCCGATAGAGCTGTTACAATCCTCGCCGTGGTGTGATCCTTCACAATCCAGTGTGTTTTATGGAGTGCTTGTAATGATGTATTGAGCCCATATGTAAGGCGTTTTTCAGTTTTACACATCGGATTCCACCGCGTACAACACCGTTCATGGGCTAAACTTTTCTTTGCCAACATTCCATTCCTCTTCACTTCTCCACGAACCAAGCCACTCCAACGCGTTCCTCCTCACAACACTCCCATTTGTGCGGGGTGAACTTGGGTCCGAGGGGTGGGAACACCCCCAGACCATCCCATCCGAACCGAGCCAGGGTCCGGACGTCAGTATGGTTACGTGTTTCGCAAATGCTCGTGAGAGGACTGGCAGAATTTTGGCGATGTCGCCATCATCCGGACCTTAGATAGTGACATGACAATGAATGGGCCCTTACTGTGAGGTGTCTGACTTTTCCTCCAATAAATCCTTGTGACGCGATTCTTCATCCCAGTCGTTTTTGCTTTCGCACACAGCCAGGAAACGCCCAATCGAAGCCCACGATGGCGCCTAAAGCAACGCGTTCCCTGCAGCAGCTCCTGTCGCAGCGGTCGCACATGGCCAAGGCTTTGCCGCGCCCGTCGCGGGCTGCGTCCCGCCACAGAGGTCCCTCCAGCCTCGCACAGGAGCTCCGTGGAGCGGATGATGCGCCGCACGCTAGTAGGCTCGCTGCGATGAGCATTTAAGCATCCGTGCCCGATCGTTCTCGTCACCTCTTCTGCTTTACACCAGTTAGCACCAATCACTCCTCTAGCACCTCTTTCTCTCGGGTTGCTCCGCTGCACACTCCTGCTCTACTCCGATCGTTCTCGTCACCTCTTTCTCTCGGGTTGCTCCGCTGCACACTCCTGCTCCACTCCTGCTCTCGGATTGCTCGTGGCGATCAAGGTCGAAGAGCGAATGGCGTCCGCCGGAATCAGCAGCATGGGGAATGGCAAGGCCGTGCGTGCGCTGCTCGCCATCGTCGCCGTCATCGCCGGTACGCTCCGTCATTCGCTCCGCTCTCTCGCCCCGCGCTCTCATGCGCCATCGTGCTCACGCCGTCATGCGTTCAATGCACCACTCGACAGCGCGCACACGCGATGGATGCCCAACGAACTCGCTCCTTCGTCCGTGCCCCTCCCATGCCACATGCCGCTCCCTTGCAGCGTGTCTCCCCCAGCCGTCGCAAGCAGCAGCAGCAGCGAGCGTGTCGGTCCCAGTGCCGATAGGCACGCCGATGACAATCAACGGGCGCACATTCAAATTCTCGCCGCGCCGCTGTGTCAACCTTCCCGCCATGTCGCCGTCTCAGAAGGCGCGGGTGGTGGTGCCGTGGCAGCAGGCGAGCATGTCTGGCAAGGCTATGTGCCGCGCGATCTGGTTCTTCCAGGATCCCGCGTGCAAAGGACAGACGTTGGACGTTTTCGTGAATGGCCAACAGAGGTGCGCCTTCCATTCTTGCTCGCCTTGCTTCCATGCTCCTATGCTCTTGATGCCGCTCGTTTGCTCCCCCACCTGATCAACGATCGTTGCACTCGTGGCGCCCTCCCTCCCCCTGTGTGCAGTGAGAAGCGCATCTCCGGTGCAGCAAGGTCCGCCCTCTGCCTCGTAGGTGCATGCGTCCCCTCTTGCCCTCTCTCGCGCCCGCCTCTCGCGAGAAGCCGCCCTCTCTCTCTCTCTCTCGCTGGCCTCGCGCTCTCACTGCACAGTCCAGTTCGCTGCGCTGCAGAGTGCACGACGCGAGTGGGTGGCAGGCTGCCGCGCCTCATCTCTGCATTCGCCTTCCCCCTTTCCCCCCTTCCCCGTTCCCCCTTTCCCCCGGTCCGCACGGCGCTGTGCGGCAGACAACATGTGTCGCGTGACCAATCACAACATGCAAATACAACGAGATTTGTTGATTCTGCTTACCGACTGATCGCGTGACCAATCACAGCAGCCCACCCCCGTTCGTTCACACCGAGTTCTTGCAACTCAACTCGTCAACAAGAGCACTCGTCAAGGTGCAAACAACCACTGTTGTCGTGGCATTTGTACCTTGACAGCGCCTCGTCCTGTGGGAGTAGGCATTCAAGACTTGGTAGACAGCGCCTTAGCATAAAAACACACTCAAGCAGAGTGGCCGCTCCCCATCGCCAATGGTACAACCGACCTCCTTACCAGTTGCATGTGCATTCATTGCAACGCGTCGGTCACCGCAGAATAGGAGAGCACCTCTATGGCACCCCGAACATTGAGAACAAGAACGTCTCGATGTGCGTTTTGGAGTATGTAAAGCAGTTGTGAGAAGCGCCCGTACAGTAGTGTTCGCCTATCAGAGAGGGCGCGACGTCCGCACAGTAGCAGGTGTAGTTTCCTCCTCTTCACACTCGCGGCAGCGGGTCATCCGCGAGATGGCAAATGTGGCTGCTCGCTTGTGGCTGAATTGTTGACCGCTAGTTGGGACCTAGAGGCTCTAAACACACCCTTAATCAACACTAGGTAGTCCCCACGGGGTCACCTCCAAGGGTCCTTGGGTGCCTGGTAGAACCAGCCCCTATCCAAGGGTCCGTGTTTGTAGAGGGAATTCCCTAAGTGCGAAATTGATCGTGCGTTCTAGAGCGTTCCCAAACTATGTTGCGCAGCGTTGACGACGAAACAGGCTCGTGTGCAGAATAGCTCTTCACGTCAATACGTTGATAGAGCAACTTAACTCGTTGAAGAGATTCAGAAAATATTTTCACTAGAAAAGATTGATCACAAACAAGCACAAGCAAGCATTTTTATGATTCGCCGAACACACAAGCAAAGGAAAGCATAAAGCAGTTGGAGGGCGAAGTCCTTGATTTTGTCACGCTGTACTTGAAAACGGTTGCACAATTTCTTGGGCTGTTGCCTATTTTCCCCTGTTGCAAATAGATGTCATTTGAGGTAATTCCCATGGTGACACCTCACATGAACATTTGTGAATCCCATATGAGTCCCATATGGCTCCCATAAGCCTCACGTCAAGTCCATCTAAACCGTTTGATGACGCGAGCAACCGAATTGTACCTGCGGGGAAATCATTCTTCAATGCGGCGTGACTTTCTCGAGAAATTTCGAGTTTGCCACGTCAGAAAAGACAGACCCGAGATTCAGTTTTTCAACTGAAATCTCGAGTCAACCCCGAGCACCCCTCGGGATCCCTTGGCACCCCCCAAAACACACGCGCACCCCTCAGGTGCGCAATCATGCATGACCGACTTTTCGGTCGTGCTGTACAGTGCACGGACGTGCGCTGTACTGCGCGTGGCAGGGCGATCATTCGCCCTGTCCTGTTGCGATCGTGGGCCCTGCCACGCTCGCAACAGTGCCAAGGCACATGCGCGAGCCCTGAGGGGCCACGCGCGAGATTTGGACCCCACGCGCGGTCCAGATTCTCGCGTCCCCTTTTTCTTTGACCAGGGCGAAAGTCAATTCCACCCCAGTCAAACTATCGACCCCAGATAACACCCCACGGTACATCACTCGCTCACATATGCCACGCATGAAACATAACAAACAAATGGGACTTTCATGGGAAGCTCATTTCAGCCTCATTGGAGCTTCATGAGAGCTTCATTTGAGCTTTCATTTGAGCTTCATTTGAGTGCGTCATGGGAGCCTCATTTGAGCGCTTCATGAGAGCTTCATTTGAGCGGATCATGAGAACAGTGAACACGAAACTGAAAATGCACAAACACAAAATGCCATTACAAATGAAAACAAAACACACAAAATGCAAGGATGAATGCGCACTGAACACAAACAAAATGCGCACACACAAAATGCAAAATGAAATGACATTTCTCACGCCAAAAATTACCTTCAAACAAAACTCCCCATTCTCTTTTACCGTCGGCGAATAGGCGGTAGGTTGCCGTGCAAACCATGTATTGCACTCAACATGAATGACTTATGCGCAACTGCGGTGGCACAAAATGGCTGGGTCTTTCAGACATCCCAGTCAAAGGCATTGCGAAGCATTTGCAAAGGCGTGTATGCTTCCTTTAGCATATAGGGTGGCCGGCCCGCTACTCACAAAGCTGGTGGTTGAGGAACTTATCAAACCCTTGAAGGTCAGCTGGCTTACGAGCGCATGCATGCTACATGTTGACAGGTGGACGTGCTTCAAGAGCCGATGCATGGTGTGTGATCGTCGACTCGAAGACCGCCAAGAAAACAGAAGAATATGTTGCAGGCCTCATTCGAGAAGCAATTTGCAAAGTTGGAAACAATTTGTCCTATTGGTGGTGGACAAATCGGCGAACAACAAGTGGGCGTTCGGTCTGTTTTTCACCAATTGTGCTTGATTTTATGTTGCATGACACTAGACGGCACAGCATGACTCAGCACGGCACCGCATGATTCAACACGGCACAACATGAGTCAACACGGTACAACATGACTAAACACAACACAGCAGGGCAGTGTCGGAAAAACAGATAGCTAGCTAAGCCTTTGGGCCTCCTTGAAGTACAAGCAGCTGTGGTAAACAAGCAGCCATTGGGCCTCCTTAAGCACTTCATTCGTTGTAAACAGCAGGGCCATGTCGAGTGAAACCTTTGTGGTGCCTCCTTGAAACACAAGTAGCTGTGGTGGGTCAATCCGATCACAGCCGTCACTATGATTTCTCCCCAGCTTCTTCGAACAATGTAGCTCTTTACCAGCCCTCTCATCCACAGATGATTGCTATGTAATGATTTTCCATCCAACTGACTCTTGGTTGGCATTGGCTTTGTCATATCTCAAGTGACCTTGCAAAGCAGCAGCGAAGGGTCGAGACTGAATATAAAAAACCCTAAGCAGTCCAACTTGCTGTTGAGCTCACCTTGGCCACTCCCTACCTTCCTCATCACTCAAGGAGCGTTTGGTGGGATGAGTGGCCGCACTCACAGGGACTTGAGGGACTCACAGAGACCTGAGGAACTCACATGGATTTGAGGGACCCCTGGGTCCAGATGCTGTTAGGGACAACGCCAGAGAAGTGGTTGTGGGAAACGTTGCTGTTGGCACAGGTGAACAGCATTGGCAAAGAAACGGTGAAGGTGATGTTGACGTCAGTATGCCGGATTTGAAACAACATTTTACCAACTCGGTCGCGAGTTCAAAGGACGCCAATCCCACTTACAAATCACGCAGGGTCAAAGGACGCCAATCCAATGACGGGGGAGGCATTTCTGGCAGGGGTCCTGTGAAGTTGTTGTGTGAGACGTTGCTGCAGGCAATAAAGGGTATGGCGTGGATGCAATGAAAGGAGTGGACTGGATGCAAAAGGAAACATGGTAACGGCATGTGGAGGCATAGTTGCATGTTGACGGAAAGCACGTGGAAACGCAATTGAGAACAGGATACATTATTTCAAGTTGAGAATCCTTAGTCAAGAAAAAGGTAGGGAAGGGTCCAGTGAAGCTGTTGTTAGACACGTCACTGTTGAGGAGGAAGGGAAGTGAGGGAAGGTGAACAATGATGCATGGAAGCGGTGAGACGAGAGAATGGAGGATGGGACGAGTAATAAAAAGGGTTGAAACTGTTGAATGAGAATGTCACATGAGAATACTTTGCCAATTGATACTGTCTTGCAGTCTTACAAGCCACCTAAGACATTATACAAGTGAAAAGTTATAGAAGATAGTGGAAGAAGTTGCCTCTAAGAAAGCGAATGGATGTAGGCGGAAAAAGACGGGATCGATAGAAACCTTGACCATATCTAGCTTTGATTCGAAGCGAACCGAACAGGTTTGTTTTTTTTGCTTAAAGTGTTCGCCGAACAGTGTTCGAGGTTCGCCCGAACACGTTCGTGTTCGGGCTGCTGCTGCAATTTGGCCCAGGACGAACACAAACGTGTTCGAGGTTCGCCCGAACACGCCTTCACAGGCGGACGGCGAACACACGTTTTTGCTCAAAGTGTTCGTCGAACCAAACACTGTTCGGTTCGGCAAACGGCTGTGTTCGTGTAGGGGCGAACACGAACAAGTTCGTGTTCGCCCCTTGCTCATCCCTAAAGGAGCCTTTGTTATACTTAGAGATGACCAATTTGGCAAACACTACCCTATTGTCTAATATTTAACCCAAGACTATTTAAGGAACTCGACTTGAAAACGGACGAAGTTTACATTTTTTGCCGAATCTGGCTTAAGTTCAATCAAGAATCCTGAAAGGCAATATATTATCAAATTCAGAGGAACTGAGTAGAAGGTTTAGTGAATATGATTATAATTTCGAGAAACGGTTTATCATCAAATACCATGATGAGATACTGAAATATTTGCTTACATGCTCGTACCCCACATCTATGACGAGAGAGACGCTTAGGCGTCTTAGCGTCCCACGTCCGGACACTAGCGCTCGGACGTTGGACGCCTCCACGATTTTATCCCGGGCAAAATAGTTTGTATTTGAAATTCGCAAGTTCAAAGGGATTGTTCACACCCCCTTAAATCGAAATCAAAGTCCCCTAACCTAGGTTTTTAGAATTCTCCTTGGTAAACCCTACAGGATTTTCAGGATTCTCCTTCTAAG